AGCAGAGTTTAGAAATAGCATAGACAAGTGAAGTTCAGATAACTTGAGAACTATGAAGCAGAAAATGAGAGGAGAAAGTTTTCCACTTCTTTCTGCATTGAGCCATTACTTAGTGAAATGCTGTTACAGGGCACTTTTCCTGGAGCACATTTTCCTTTCAGTTCCAAGGAATATAAAACCAGAACACAGGAACACCGAGTCAAGACCAAAGGCTGCTTATCCAAATATCATGCCTCAAATGGTAGCCAGTGGACACACAGGGAGTAGTAGAAAAGCAAGGCAGGTGTGTATCATTCTCCTCAGTGCACTTACAGTCTTCATTAATTTGTGGCTGAGAGACCTCCTGTGCCAGAGTTATGTGTTTGGCAGCTCACATTGGATTTCCGTTCCACCAATCTGTTCGTGGCCTCCTTGGACCCATGTAAACTTTTACAATCTACAGCTTCATGCAATCAGGAACCACACAGCTTTACTATACATCGTGTTTTGGTCTTTTTGAACCTACCAACTTTTAGCTTTATGCAATGGCCCCTCCATCTTCCACAGGAGGGGCAGTGAGCATGCTGCCTACACACCTGCTTCATGACACCGATTTCAGAAACCACACAAGACCTCAAGCATCCCTTTTCCAAGCTGAGAAGTCCCACATGCTTTGTATGGAAGCCATTCCCATACCATCGATCAGCCCAGCTGCCCTTCTTTGAACCTTTTCCAGCTTGTGGCACTGGAGATGAACATGTGCCATAGAGTCATTCTGTGGCAAAACACCAATTTTCTACCCCTTCCCTCATAATTCCTACCATCTGACTTGCTCTTTTCACTGTATTGAAGGGAACTTTACATGGAACAATTATAGCTCCAAAATTGGTTAATGCTAACTTGCTCTGTGAACACACTTGTAACCAGCTAAACTCGATGGGAGAGTTTCTATGCAACCAGTTTTTGGACATCTGCATGCCTTTCCACAAAGCTATGAGATCAGGTCTCTTCTTCCCTGCTCCCCAAATCTTCCCATTGCAGCAGTCCAGCATGACTAGAAGAAAAGTCTGCCCTCATGCATATTCCACTTAGCCAGGAACAATGACCAAGATTCCAAATTTGCTCTTGCACCAGAAGAGACATTAATAGGCTCAGAAAGGGGTGTAATACAGCCCCCAGAGGCAACACCTAAAATACAGCCCCAGTACAAAACTGTACTGAAACTGCATGGCTTTGTATTAAGGAAATTCAGAACTCTTCCCTTTGAACTGGTTTTATCAATAATATGTTACACAGAGAAGAAAAAGAGCCCTAACAAAAAGGAAAAACAATAATTGATATATTTTCATTTTCTGAGTGAAACAACTTCAACTGAAAGTGAAACAATTTCATCCACTTGCCTAATAGAAGAGAAACACTTGTAGTGTTTGATTGCTCTGTAGCACCATGTTTTTCAGTTGCCTCCTTATTCTTATGATCTTGTACGTTTCCTTCTGAATTCAGACTATTCTTTTTTACTCTTTTATATTGTACTGAATTTTACACAAGAGAAGTGATTCACGGAAGTTTTCCAAGTATACATTACAGATGTTCCTAAAGCTACAAGGGAAGGAGAACAATACCCAACACACATTCCTTCATGGACTGAATTGCTATTTCTAGGTCAAACTGAGTACTTCCTTATATGGCAAACGGTTAAAACACACGCACAAAACAGTAGAACAGCTCCCAAGAAGAGCTGTTTGTTACCTGGCACAAGGACACTGTAGTTCAAATACTAGGTTTTTCAAACGTCCTCTTGTAGTTTTCTGTTTCCCCCTACAAACACATTTTATTCCCAAACTAAGATTTTCTGTACAGTTCTGACCTCACCATTCTATATATCAATAACTCATCTTACCTACGTCCTTACCTCTTTATGAAGTACTCCTGTTCACCAGAGAAAATTTTGTTTCTGAAATACTTCAATTTCTGCTTTCTAAACTTTGGAGATTTGACCTGTCCCTTTGATCTTATCACATTTATTTTTCACTGCATTTTCTCCTTTCCACAGGAGCACAGAATTGCCCTTCTGTTAAAGGTCTAACAGAAGTTTGCGTATCATTTAAATCCAGCTTCTCAAGACAAGTTTTACAGAAGACTTGTAGGACCAGCTGAGTTGTGCTGTCTTCACAACTCATGCTGAACTCTATTCTAAACATGTGAATACTGGCTGCTTAATGACATGAATATTTTGAGGCGGATACTTATTTTTTCCATGACACAGCCATGTGTGTCCGATATTACAAGAAATTTCTATTATAATACATTTGATGCTGGCTACAAAAATGCAATGGACACACCAGTCTTTGTGCAGTACTTTGAAAGACTGCTGAAACTTACCCTTTAAACATGCATCTGTTTAAGCACTACCTACCAAGTTTGGTTGGGCTTTTAGAGCTTCCTCATATCCAGACCTTCTTTTGATCCCTCCCAGCCTGCAAGAAATTCATGCTGATTCATTACTTCATTTCCTGCAGATATGGAGCACATGAAAGTAAAACAATCGTTCACTCACACAAGTGTTAAAAGAGACACTAGTCTCAGTGTCTGGATCCTTAGCACTGTGTTTTTTCCTTCTATTTTCCTCAGAATGGTTTTATATATTACTCCAAAGGGGAAGATGGGGGAAGCCCTTACCCTACATTTGTTTCCCAATTTTCTATTTACCATTTTTCTCCAGCTGGCAGAGAAAATAAATATATTCTCTGTGGAAAGGAAATTGTAGAATGTACTCTTTATGCTCACTTCTTTCCCTGTCAGTCTTCTCTATTCTATTACTACACACACACACACACACACTGTAGAAACTATCACTTTAGTTAACATTTAATATTGAATCAAAGCCCGCTGGACTTAAAAGCATGAACTACTGGGCCAAATTTACAAACACCCACTTTGGAAATGCAGAATTCAGACTGAACTGTAAATAACCTGAGAAATATTTATCAAAATAGAGCAATCCTAGATGTTAAATTTGGAGAGAGAAATAATTAAATATCATATATCGATATGAAACACTAGATTGAGAAATCCTCTTTCAGGCATCGGGCAATTCACTTTAAATACCTAATCATAGCAAGTGTCAACACAATTGATAGGATAGTTACCTATTACTGAATTTTAACAAGACAGAAATAATAATGCGTTTTCAGCCAAGTCATCTGCTAATCTTCTGCTGCACTTCACCCTCCCCCTCTCAGGGTGTGGTAGTTTAATCTCCAGTGTGCAGTTAAGACTTTCCTTTTATCCACGGAATATCTGACTCCCAGGTATGTATTTCATCTACCCCAACTTGCAACTATCAGTTTCTTAGAGCAACTGGAAAATTCTTGTGGATCTTCCCCAGAAGTTGCATCCAAATCCTGCTCAAATCAACATACAAGCTTCCAGCAACTTCATGAGGGACTGCAGTATTGTTTCCTTAGACTGTTTTCATTTAGTTTGTTGGGACAATCCCAGAGTATTCCACTAGTTATGTCTTCCACATAATAAACTAACTCTGAGAGCTTCTGCATTTAAGAGACATAATTGGGCATTTAGTGTAGGTATACTTGTCCTCCTTTAATGGAGACAACTGTGAATGCACTGGATCACTCATCTCCCTTTAAAATCCTGCAGAACAGGGACAAGTGGTTACACATTTCCTACCGCTACTTCTAGCATTTGCCAGCAACAGTTAAAGTTTCCAAGATTTAAATCCAACTTTCTAGAGCACGATAACGTTACTCATGTTTTCATGTACGCAGCTCCTCTAACGTCCTTCTCTTTGCTGCATGCTGCTGATTAACACCATGCTATCAAGGCAGAAGGAAAATCTAATGATTACAATAGCAGTTTGTAGGTAAGCAGAGGTCAATTCCTATGCATGCCTAGAATCGTGCACTGGAATTATCCAAGTACAAGGTTTTTTTGTTTTAGTAGAAAATTAGCAGTAGCATTCTGAGCGAGCCATTAGCAATTTCACACTGGAAGCCACAGTTCTTGCTTGCCTCCTAGAACCACAAGACCACTCTCATTCAGAAGCTGACGACCAACTATTTTATTTACCTTCTAGCCAAGACTTTCAAAAGCAGTTTGACGCTGGATCTTTCAGTTGCATATCCAACCCGACTCACATACATAAAAGTTTTGGGGGGGGGGGGGGGGGGGGGAAATCCCTTCAAAAATCTCACTTTGGGTTGCTTTCTAAAGTCACCAGGCTATATACTAAAGCAGTATTTAATGTTTGTCTAACACATTGAATCTCTAATTAGTTAATTAGGTACAGATACCTTTAGCATTTCTATTTTTGTTAACAAAGTCTAAGATAACAAAAATAATGTTAAGCTAAATAAAAGCAAAGAGTTTGCCCACTCACATACACCTTAAAGAAATTTCCTCTTACTGCTGCAAAAGTACTGTAGCAGGCCGCTCTCTTTAAACAAGTCTCATGCATACAAAGAAGAAAAACGTTTCCTCTAATAGCTTATCACCTTACTGGGAAACTATCAAAGGGATAAGAAATCTGCTTAAGTTGGCCTGTAGACACTGCATGTAGCTTGCAGGACAGCAGATACAGAGAGCAAACATCCCCCCTTGCCAGTGCCCCAGTCCGACCTTTCTGCATCGCAGTCAATTCACACACGTGAGGAATGCAATAGTTCCTTGAAAACCCCCACAGTAGCACAAGTGTTAACTTGGTCAACAACATAAGGATAAAAAATAAAAAAACTTGGCTGTCTGGGGAAGTGGTTCTTGCCGGTTAAGAGAGAGCCACAAACAGTTGCAACTTCCAACTGTTGAGAAATCACTAACTTTGTCTCATGACAGTTAGGCGGTCTCAAGTAGGAACACGCGAGCAGAGAAAGAAAGGTCTTATTTAGAAAATTCCTCAGCAAAAACACAAGAAGGCAATATCTTTTTTTTTTCCCTCCCCCCCACCATTAGGCAATGGTTACATAATGACATCTCCCCCCAATTTTGACTACATACTTTACTACCTTTTCATGTTACCACCTGCGTTTTGTGGTAAAGAAGGTAAGTCTTAACTTTCTTCCACTTCAGTCAGCGATCAACCAACGGGGCGCTGCAATACAGATCCTACATTCAAAGAGATAAATAAAGGCTTTAGATACAATCACTGAAACTCAGACATGCCCCAGCCCATGAATTGCAGAAAATGCCCTTAGCCTCGGGATTAAGGGACAGTGACAACCAAGTACCTGGTAAGCATTAAGCTGACACACAAGCTCCTTTTACGATGCAGCTAGACAGAACATTTTCATTGCTGCATTTTTCACAGCATTTTGTTGAAGATGAACATTTGTAATTCTTTTTGATGTTTTTTGCCATTAAAGTAGAAAGAGGAAGGACAGGCCTATGTTCGACTCTGTTTTGCCCTGATTCAGAACAAACTGGGATGAAAAATTTGAACCCAAAGCTTTCTTCATTTCTCATGGCCAGTGCATAGCTCATAGCAAAATTCAGAGCATAATTCAGGTTAAGCCGAACTCAGAATTCAACTTTTGATATTAAAAGTACAGGTGTGTGTGTGTGTGTGTGTGTGTGTGTTTATAGGGTTTGTTAATAAGCCAAAATATTATTATTTACAGGCACTGGTTTTGTTCAAATGGGGAACAAAGCCCTTTAATCACTGAACACTGCTACATGTGAATAATCAGCTTTCTGTTTTCCTTGTTATTCTCATTTCCTCAAACCTTCTGCAAAACCAACCAACTCAAAAGCTAAAAGGCCAATCCATCCTGGGATGAGCCCACATTTCCACTGCTTCACTCCGCCGCTGCTGTACTATTCCACGCCTCTGGAACGTTGTTTATGGATAGCCCTCATCTCCCACCCACCCTCTGTCCCTATCATAACTGTGAAGTTGTCAACTATAAGAGCGTTTTTCCTCTGAGGTAATGAATTATTATTTTGCAATTACAGTTGGGCAACACAAGAGCAAAGAGTGCCAGCAACTTGCCCAAAATCACAGAGGAAATCCATAGAAGAGCGGACACTAAATCCACATCTCTGAAGTCCTAGGTTAATCACTGCTATATCCTTCCTCTGTGCATGCATACCAGTTACACTCATTCCTTCCTCTCCTTCTGTAGTGCCAAAAACATACAGTAAAAACAAACCAAGAAGAACGATAAAACCTCAAATTCACTAAGGACTCACAAACAAAGTCTCAAATAAGCATCAGATGGATGCCAGTCTTCTATTCTCTGGCAATACTCAAAAGTTTCATGCCAGTGAAGTATTACTAGATGAAGCCATCGCTCCTAGTCGTGCTGCCAAGTAAGGCAGGCTGCCTCTCAGGCAGAGGAGGGCATCACACCTCTATTTCTAGTACCATCTACACAAGCCAAAGCAAAAGGCCTCATACATCTCACTCTACATGGAGAGAAACATCAGAGTAAGACTCAAGACAGGATTTCAGGGGAAACAATTCCAAACTTTGCGATCTCTTTATGCTGAAGATACCTAGAACTGTTGCTTGCAAAAAAAATGCAAAATACTATAATTAAAAAGTAGCCAAAAATGTACTTTGGATCTCACTCTTAGTTTGTTTTTTCTGTTTTTGATGTTAGCCTTCCGACCACTTCTCTTTTTCCATTGGCTTCATGCTAGCGCCACCGACTATGCCAGCTAGAACAGCGATGATAAGATTCCTCACTAAAATAAACTCATTTCACCAACTAGGGTCAATCAAACACGGAATAAGTACTGAGGGCATCATTCTTCCATAACAAATTAGTTTTATCTTGTCATAGAATCAATGCTTTGAATTAAATACACATGATGAGATATACATAAATCCCAACAAACGAGTTGCTGAACAACAGAAAGTGACAAATTTCATAGTATTCATTCCAATTCTGGAACATCTCAAAAGCATCCAAAGCAGTCTTGTATCATCTGAGCACCTCAAATATATCTTTGATATATTTTTAATTAAAAGGAGAAAAACTGCTGGTAAAAAATACACAATCTAGTACGAACCTCTGACCACCCAGCACAACATCAGGTGATCTATGCTTAAAATATCCAAGAGGATTAAATTAGTTCCCCCTTACACATATAAAACAGGGCCTCATAACATTCACATGATGCTTCAGCTACAGAAAGCTTGGTCACTCTGGCTATAGAAAAGGTGGGCCGCTCATTCAGACTGTCATTATTTAGGCAGAATTAAACTTCTTACTAAAACAAAGTAAAAAAAAAGACATATATATGTGTGTGTATATATCTATATGTATATAAGCATATATATATAAAAATATAAAAGCATTCCCACAAAATGAATAAAGTTAGGCCATGATTCTTTAGGGAGTCAGCTGGGCTTGGGCTTATACAAAACGTCACCTTTAAGATATACTGCAATGAGCTTATTGTCTTGTAGGACTCTTGTCTTGGCTCAGAAAAGATTAGCTCAGGTAGTAACAAGCAGGAGTGACCCTTATAAGACAATGAACACATCTCCTTAAGACAGGTTACTTAATTTCAAGGAAACGACACAAAGAAAACTGTTCAGCGTGATTTAAAATCCACCCCTCAACGTTCATTAAAGCAAGTAAGTAAATGTACTTTCAATTATTTGAATATGTAACATTGCTAGACATTCAAGAACTCTTGTATTTGTTCACTAAATAAGCGCACAAAAAAAAAACAGAATAAAGGTTTGGCGAAACTTTTCATGTTTCTTAGCAGAATACTGTAAATCCATTTCAAAACATTTCCCTTACTTTGATGATGTTTCAGCATCTACAGGCAGTAATATCAGACACCACACAGCACAAAGGCAGCTCACACTTTGCTGGCATTTTAATCCCTCTCTCACAACTTCCTACTGATCAAATGCAGCCCTGCGAGACAGGACCAAGAATTCCAGATACACTTCGCCTTTTTATCCAAGCTTGGTATCTAGACATGCAAACTAACAGAGATTGGAGCTAAAACGATCCATGTCACCCCCAAATATAATTACCTTCCATATCCTTTTGATCAAGGGAAACGCTACCCAAGTAGTCAAAGGCGAAGTGCTGCCTGCCTTCACATGGAAGCCCATACGTCCTGCAGCAACAAGGGCCTGATAAAGCCTCAGCAATGCCTAACGCAAACGTCCTGAAATTGAGAATTCAGGCACGGAGGAGGCCTCTGGCGATTACCAATACAGGGCCTCTCTTTGCTGTGCGGCAAGCTTACGGAAAGCTGGGTCCCTATTGAGCCATAAAGATTTTCAGCATCCAAACACTAACATCAAAACCTGAGGCGGTCTCAGCCTGGCTCCCTGAGCACATCCTGGTTAAGAGGGGAGAGACTGAGACTCTAACGATATAGCTTAGCACTGAGGGTACCAGGCACTGCACAATACATTAGGTGGCCTCAAACTCGCTTCCGAATGTAGAGCGCCCTGTTGTACCAGGACACATCCTGTAATGCTTTTAAATTGATCCTAGTATAAAGGACAATATCCATTGCCTGCCAAACGCTATGCTTGCTGATAGATCCAGCGGTAAGTAAGAAAACAATAACGCAAAGAATATTTTGAAACGGCAGATACTGCATAAACAAAAGCACCAGCAGCTGCTGCCTCATCCTGCCCTGGCAGGAAAGTCACCTCCTCAAAAAAAAAATTTCTCTTAATGCCAGAACATACTACCTGCCCTCAAAGCAACACGTTCACCTTAAAGAGATTTAATTTCAAAAGCCCTAATGAAACATGTTTAAGGAACCCCTAGAGGAATTCCAATTCTATTACCCTCATTTCATCTTCATTTCATATTGGAAAGAAAGATTAAGAACATTCTAGTTTTCACGATTCAACTTGTGTGTAATACTAGCACACAGGGAGGCCAGGTAAAATACACTAACAAGAACTTTGGTTTTAAAGCCTTGTTTCCAAAATGGGATTGCAGCAAGCCCTATAAATCCTTATGTAGGGCATTCACATCTTCAAAGGTAAGAATCTGAAAAACTGCACTTACTTCAGACCGTTGTTGCATATTGCATTCCATTAGCTTCAGGCAACAGGACTTTTGTTCAAGTGTGCCCAAGTTACTATGACTTCTCTAGAGAGAGGAGTTTGATGCTGAATCTGATGTTTCTATATCTTGACTGTATTTGACTTTCTGCACAGAGGAAAACAAGTTGTTCTCTGGAATCAAACAAAAAACATGTACAACCCTGATACTCTGACATTTGCCCTGCTTGGCCCAAGGAGCTGCAAATAGCACAAATAAAGCTTGTTTTACATCTTTGTGAATACTGACTGTAGCATCATTGTTCAATGGGCTCTTGAGACTGTGAATTGATTTTGTATAGACTTTCTCCTTCCATCTTATCATTATCACTTCATGGTATTACTTTCAAAGTCAATGAGCTGCTAATGCTGATCCCACTTGTGCCATTCACAGGTATAAGTAGATGCAACAATCATTAGTCACTTTACTTAATAGCAGTAATTTTTTTTCCTCCAAATTCAGCCTAAACGTAAGACTCCATACATTTCAGTTGTTAAAGAGTTTGCATCCTCCAAGTTCTTCTATTAGTAAGTTCACTCTGAACAGAAAAGATGAGCAGGGAGAGAGAGGAGATGCTCATGCTTCATCCTTCAGGAAATCCAGTTTTGTATTTCTTTGGAATGAAACCAATCAGGTATTCTGTTAAATATTTCGAAGACCCATCCTGAATGTATAATGATGAGCTGTGTTTTTAATCCATAAGACAGACCTCACATCCATCTTAAAGTACAAAACACAACTCAGTTGCAACCTGCACCTCCATTAAAGTTGTATACAGTATAGCGCTAGAATAACCATTCCAAACTATTAAGGTGCGAAGCAATACTACGTCTGTAAAAGATGTGTATTTTTAAAATATGACATTGTCAGGCTTATAGACTCATAATTCAGCTCTGAAGGACCATAATTTGCAAAAAAATGGGCATCCACCAATTTCTGCTGGTATCCAAGATGAACAGCAGCACGGCTTGTTGCTTTAAAAATCAGACTGCTCATTTAGTAATGGTAATACCATTCTAGAGGGGAGCCTTCACAAGAATCACAGTTTAGGGTGTTTTTCTTTTAAACAACCCCTTATTTCAGCATCCCCAGCCTGACTCTTATAATTGGAACACGTATATCCTTAAGCAGGGCTTGGAAACCCTGTAAGCCTACAAGCTTCCATTTAAAAGCAAGGAGAAACTAACAACCCAACTGCTCAAAAATATGTAAAAGCTGTATTAAAAAAAGATCGCATTTTATTATTGATCTGTAATGATGGCTGTCAAGCTCCTGCCGGAAGCTAACTTCTACAGCCAAATTACAAGTCCCCTGAAAACAATGCTGTGTGTAATGGAAAGCCTGACAGGCCATTAGCTACAACAGTGCGAACAGGGTTCTAACAAACAACCACAATGGAATTTTAAATGAATCACTGTTTCAAAAAAAAGTTATTTACCTTGGAGGATTGCAGCCCTGGAGTTGGACCCCAGATTGCTGTTCTCCACCGTGCTGGAAGCAGCAACAACCAATAGAAATAATCAGCTTCTTGAGAGCCCAAAAGTTTGTTCATGTGATTTTCAGAAGGCAGCACAGTAAAACATAGGTGAGAAGGATTAAGGACTTGATCTTAAGTTGACATTCCTAAATATCCTGCGCTGGCCTTCAGAAGTGGCAGGATCAGGTCCTAGGGGTCCTAGGACCCCTAAGACCCCAGCATTACTTCTAAAATCAGTTATTTTCTCTCCTTCTGCACCATTAAAGATTATTACTTTCCTCTGTCTGCAATCTTACACAATCCTAGCCAAAGATCAAAGTCTCATGCTCCAAACGTGTGCTACTGGTCACGTATTGCCCTCTCATTCCCCACCGCCACAGTACCAGAAACACAACACTGCCAAAAAAAAAAAAAAAAGAAAACAAACAACCACACACACATACACACACACAGTCTCTTTTATTCTGTGATACTATTGGAAGGAAATCTCATCACAAAAAGCATGCCACCTAGTAGAGCCCTGCCAGAAATGAAGTTTCACAGCAGCAGCCTTCAACTACTTTGTTCTCACTGATGCATTATAGCAAGAGATGCTACCTTAAGAGTTGTCACCATGCCCTCCCTGGTTGTAAGGCCACTCTGGACCTCATTCGAGCCCTAATTATCCTCCCTCAGATTCGTACTCCTTGTGCAAGTACTTTTTGCTGGGGCCTGCCCAGGTTAGCGCTATGGGCTCCCCTCTCCCCCACCATCACCAGCCCTGCTCTTTGCCCCCACGCTGTGCCAGGACAAAAAGCGAGCAAGGCCACTGGGGCCACTGCATTCGTATGGCCTCATGAGCAAACAAGTCACCTCGCTGATCCCACACAAAGGGCAGACAGGTGACCAGAAGCCCATTCCCATGACCAAATTGACAGGGGTCCCATAACTGGATTCCCGAATCGGCTCTGGTTTTCCTGACACCATGGTACCCGCATATTCCACTACAGGTCAAACGGCGACACGTGTGCTTGATTTCAAGAGTTCCTCCCAGCTAGTCTTCTTCCCTACTAGGCAAAAAAACAAACAACAATAAAAAAGTTTTAAATTATCTTCCCTTTCTACCTCTAAAAAAATTGGATTGTACCAATTTTCTCCATGAATTTTCTACCCTGTTTTCCCATCTTTCTCCAGCATAAGTCTGAGGCTCCATATCGAAGGTGAGCTGGTCAAATCACTTTGATTTCAAAGTGCCTACTTTAACACCAACTTAAATAACCTATTTTAATCTCGTTTTGCATTTGTACTTTCTAGAATTTTTCCAAAAGAAATATATATCCTTCCTGGCTGGAAGACTGTGACATTTTTTGCTCATTAGGAAGTTGCTCTACAAGCATTTACAATTTTTACTTTATTATTACTTACAATTAAGTATCTGGTTTTCCAAATGTGAATATTCATCTCTTCTGAACATTACACATTCATTAGCCGCAAAATGTTTTTAAATAAGACAAAAGAATTTGGACAAATATTAAAGTAAAATTAATTAAAGCAGTATTTTCAAACTCATCAAATAAAATCCTTTTAAGTGTGCAGAATGAAAAGAAAGTAAATCTATCAACATATTTGTATATTAAACTAGCTCATTATAGGGAGACGTTATCTGTAGTTGGCGAGCTTGGCTGCATACGTCCCTCAAGTTTTGGCAAGAACAGATGCAATTTTCATACCTGCTTCTTCACACATCAAAAGAAAACAAAACTTTCCCGCTTTTGTAGTTTCTCATCTTTGCTTGGACAAGTCCCTGAATGAGCCCCAGGAATAAACACAAATGAAGAATATATGTTACTCTCACCAAACTAGTTCTGCACTTCGACAAATTCTCAAAAGATACTTCCACCTACTCAGCAGCTTGACTTTTAAGTCTTAGAAGCAAATATATTCTTCTTGAATATTATAATTTAATTAAAATGTTTATTAGATTATGATAAAGTTAAGGCTTGCATTTAGTACTTTCAGATCCAAATAATTCACACTTGTTTTTAATTCTCAGCTTTAACCTATTTTGGTTTAAGCTTTCCAAAAATTTCCCCCTCTCCCCCTCACCCTTCTGCTCATGTTTTCCCACTTCGGCCTTTGTGTTTCCACATTTCACAACACCCACGTGCGCGAGCACTTAGTATATGCCACCTCACCTTTTCCTTCCCTCAGGAAGGCTACAGATCTATTTATTCTCAGGCTTTATTCACCACGATACTTCGGCACGTGAATCATCTTGCTGTCTTTACTCACATGACAAGTGCTGAGGCGAGTACCTGCACAAACACGTCCAGGCGATCCTCAGGCTTTGAGGATACCTGGCTCCTCCTCCTCCTCCTGTGCCAAGCATGCACTCCTCTGTCCACCCCGCACCACAAGTCCTTCAGAGAAATACTAGATCACCTTTACTAATCAGGAAGGAAAAACAACTTCTTCAGTACTGATAAGACTAGCAAGCCTTCTCTAGGCTCTAGCCTCTCTGCTAGCACTTGTAACCACTACAGTTAAAGATCTTCAGTGCTTGGGAACAGCAATTTTAGGCTGCTTATTTACTGCCGATTTCCCACAGTTCCCTAGATGACTCAAGCCCGTACGCTACAGCTTACGGAGCAGTTGGCTGCTTTTTAGAATCCGCATGACTTTTCTGCCTTTTACCTGGCAAGAACTCCATCACTGATTGGTCACGGTTCAGGACGTTATTCCGATCTACCTATCTGGTGTTTTTGCTAATTATAAATTCCAATATGTACTAAGTCACACCTCCATCCAAGCACATTTTGCTAGACTAAAGACAGGGCAGCTCATCACTGGAGGACAGAAGGTCACAGAGCAATTAAGCACCTTATAACATATACCTAGTAGTTTCAGATACTATCAGAAAAAAAAAATTCCCTCCCAGTGCAGGGCTTCGCAGGAAAGATAACTTCAGAGATGTATGTGCAGCCTGGCTGAGGAAAGTAAATACAGCAAGGGAATAGCATCCAAACAGAAAAGCAGCAGTTGAAAGAGTCTATGGTTAGCATTATTTATATTCTTATTAACTAAATCCTAAAAGAAGGGGCATAGTATTCATGGCCACTCAATGAACATTTACGCAAAGAAAAGTTTATCACTGGCCAGCATCTAAAGCTTTGTTATAAGACGACCTACAGCAGTCTGTCATTCCCCCAGAACAAGAACTATTTTGCCAGAGGAATGCTCTAGCAAACTGTATTTCGGAGCAAACAGAGAGCAATACCAGTGTAACACTCTGCGCAACGGATGACACTGACATGCAGACCTCTGAGTGACATCACCCTTCCTTCTAAGCAGCTGGATGAGGAGTCATACGAGTTATTACTTTCAAGTGTGATGTCAAAAGATTTGTTGTATTTTCTACATTACACAAACAGGAAAATAAGGAAGATCCCACACCATGGGATTCACGTTTTGAGACAATGCTTATGTAAACACACATCTGACAAGCTTGAAGTGAAGCAGACCCTCCCACCAAAACCCACTGTCAGCAAAAATAGCAATTTCCTCCTTAAAAGCAAGGAGTAGGGTATCACTTAAACGAAACACGCAAGGGGAAGGCAGCCCCCCAAATGATGACCCAGTGAGTCCCATTTGAGTACAGATGGATTGAAAACATCGAGGAAAACTCAAGAGTTTACAAGGTCTTTACCAGGTGATTTCAAGAGAACAAGAGAACTTCACAACAGCTTTAGCCTGTTAAGATTCCCAACACAGCTGAAAGGGACTTGGCCATTATGAAAAGGAAAAAAAAAAAACACCCCACTTACCTAAAACAAGCCATAGCTTATCTGTCCCACAGTCAAAAGCGTGACTTGCCACATGTAGGCACTGTGATCATTAGAACTGTTTTGAATAGCACCACGAAGGTGTACAGAGCAGACAGAGCTTCTACAAAGGCCATGGGAACCCATACGGGACCACAAATGCTTCTGTCAGTAGTGAACGCCAGTGAACGCCTGTGCACTTACACCTGCACTGCTACTAGTGTCCCATGTAGCTAGACTAAGGCTATCCGAGTACGCTGCATGCCCTCCAACTGCAGTCCAGACATACCGTAAATTTGAGTTACAGGATCACATCTGATAGCTCCGTGTCCAGCTACAATTTCTCTAGAGCACAACTCCAAAAGCCCAGTACTTTTCCCAAGAAAACTATTTCAAGTATTTACTTCCCTAGTAAAAAAAATAATGGAATGGAGAAAAAGAGCTCTAATTCACAGGTTGTACGTCAGGTAACACGGTGCACACTACAAAATGAGGATCTGGGAAATTTTTCAGTAAAAATGTGGAGATTTGTAGTAGAGACCTTCTCTGCCTGCTAGAACTTAAGGAGGCTTGCAAGTATGTTCCTCTCAAACTTGAAGTGGCAATTCATACAAGTAGGAGCTGTTCGGAGCCTGCAACAATTAAAACATCCATCTGGTAACCTGAGTCTGCAACCTTTAATCCTGAGAGGAGTCCCATTTTGTAGGTCTGCAATGCTTATGGGCTAGCAAGGAAAGCACCAACTGGGAACTGATACTCAATAACTGTGCTCAAAAATAGCCACCATGGGCTATCTTTTCCCCTCGCGTGTGCGTTAAAATCACTATGCTATCTCATCACCGCTGCACAAGAAGGTCCACCCTATCACCTACCATCCTATCTATCAGGGCAGGAGGATGTCCAGTGTTTTTCTGCCTGCAAGACACCACACACTTGGGCAAGACGTAACAGCTAGAGCTTGTCAAATTGCAGTTTTTCAGCTAGAAGCTTGGTTCCGTTCCCTCAATATGAAAACCTCAGTGTCCAAGACACTCCTGTAGTGACATAGAACCATGTTCTTTACCTTCACGCTAATTTAAACATTCACAGGAGAATCTGCACAACCAGTATTAGTTTCTCAGTGCGACCAGCTAAGCAATTCTCATTGACATTTTTCTTACTAATTCTTATCTGATAAAACAAGGGTGAAATCCTGTCCCATTACTTGTATGATTGGCCCAAAGTTAAACAGTAGAACTCTTCTCATGATTAGTTATCATGGATACACATTCAACAAAACTGGGGAGGAAATATTTCTATGGTCCCACCAGCCATTACAGTTTTCCCCTTCTCCAATTTCATTTTGTATATATATTTGTGTGTGTATATATATATATGTATAAGTGTGTGTGTGTGTATAAATATATATATAAAGCAGCAATGGTAACATTTCTATTCGTATGAGCCTTTATTTTCATTCC